AGTTTATTATAGAACCTCAAGTGTCAGTTGTGCATCTCGGCATTAGTTTATTATAGAACCTCAAGTGTCAGTTGTGCATCTCGGCATTAGTTTATTATAGAGCCTCAAGTGTCAGTTGTGCATCTCGGCATTAGTTTATTATACAACCTCAAGTGTCAGTTGTGCATCTCGGCATCAGTTTATTGTACAACCTCAAGTGTCAGTTGTGCATCTCGGCATTAGTTTATTATACAACCCCAAGTGTCAGTTGTGCATCTCGGCATCAGTTTATTGTACAACCTTTAGTGCCAGTTGTGCATCTCGGCATCAGTTTATTGTACAACCTCAAGTGTCAGTTGTGCATCTCGGCATCAGTTTATTATACAACCTCAAGTGCCAGTTGTGCATCTCGGCATTATTTTATTATACAACCTCAAGTGTCAGTTGTGCATCTCGGCATTAGTTTATTGTACAACCTCAAGTGTCAGTTGTGCATCTCGGCATCAGTTTATTACACAAGTAATTTCATAATACCTTATATAAGATGGTAAGCTATGATCAATAAAACGCAAATCTTTGACCTACTTTAATCAAAACCAACACCCTTAACTTCTAGCTGAATGTTTAGTTTCGACCAGATGAGGTTCGGTCACACTGGATAAAGGGTTTGGTCACGAACATCCCGAAAAAAACTTCACCTTGCTATTGTTTTAGAAGACTAACACACAAGAGAGACTACAAACCTTCTGCTGGATGAACTAACATTTTGGAAGACGCTACTTTGTACATCAAAGGTGTCTCCTACAACCCTCGTAATATGCCCACAGTCAAATGTTTTAGTTTACAATTACTGACTCACGTTTTTCAATACTACTAATAACACAGATGACGGGATATAGTAAAGGAAAAGTTTCAAACATGTAAACTGGTAAGACGAATAATGTCCACAACACCCACAAACAAAGACATTTGGGGATTCAATATTTTAAGTTTGTTATTTAAGTCTAATATTTGGCATTTATAGTTGTTTAAACTTTACCATCCAATCAATCTTGAGATCCCCTATGGACTTAGGAGATGTTTACACAGAGATGTGTTATATAGTAAATCGTATTTCATCTTCAAATACTATCAGAGTAAACATTACTGAAGTTCCATTCAAGATTATTTGTTTTTGAATTTCGCGCAAAGCTACACGAGGGCTATCTGCGATAGCTGTTCCTAATTTAGCAGTGAAAGACTAGAGGGAAGGCAGCTAGTCATCATCACCCACCGCCAACTTTTGAGCTATTCTTTTACCAACGAATAGTGGGACTGACCGTCACTTAATAACGCCCCCACGGCTGAAAAGGCGAGCATATTTGGTGGGACGGGTATACTTTGTCTAGTTCATTTTTAACGAAAGAACGCCTTTTAAAGGAACAAGACTAAACCTAAAACAAATGTATGTTACTACAAGGTGTCACAAGTAAAACAAATTTTGTTATGAATACATCGGAAAACTCGGTGATGGATCAGAACTTCCATAAATTGGATACATAAAAGTAGGAACAAAACTGAGTCCGCAATACTAAATTATGTAAAGTACAATTGAAAATCTCATACAAGATAGAACTTTCTCTTTCTGATATTCGTGAAAACTACACACAAGCTATCTGCGTTAATCACTTCTAAATTATGAACTGACAGGAGAAGGAAGGCAGCTTTTCATAAAACACCCACCGCCAACTCTTGGATTACTCTAATCGAATAGTAGACCCGCATTCCTAAAGTACGGAGCGCGATTTTGCGGTAACGAGACGCTAACAATGGACGCCAGAATTCACAGTCCAGCACATTAAACACTGAGCCACACCCGGGAAAAATTTAAAAGAGAACGGAGAATTACTATAAAAACAAGCGTATATAAATAAATAAAAAATACTTTTTTTTCCCGAATCTATTCTCGAAAACTCCTGAAAAGAAAAGTAATTTACTGATTAATAACGCACCGTATTTGTGTTTCCATGGCAATAAATTATTGACATTTTTTTATCATTGCCATATTAGATTACAAAAAAGTTAATTTTCAGAATTTCTTCAAGTATAAGATTGTGCACAATTTCCTAACTTAGAAGATTTTAAAACAAAATATGCTACGTTGTAAATTAAGTTTTTAAACATTTCATATTGAGCCGATTTGTTTCCAGACTTTCTGTTGTATAACGTAAATCTGCATTTGATTCGTTAAGATTATATAATAGTTGACTAGGCACTGCTTCATGCATGTCAATTTTTATACAAAAAAAAATCGTTATTACTCTAAACGTCTGTTTTTGGAATGATTATTCTCCACTCTATTATTATTGCTTCATTTATAATCCAACCAACAGCATACTGAAATGTAATTAATACAAAATCAGATCTAACTTTATTATTTATCATATTATAGAAAAACAACAACTAATGTACAAAGAAAATTCGACTGAAGCGTTCTCTGTGATGACAAGAGTATGTACGTTAAATACAAAAGTTTCTAATCATCCTGGTATGCTTACGTCATAAACTAAACCTTCTTATAATTTTAGATTAAACGTGTTACTAAACTGTGTGTATTTAACTTGGTTTTGATTTTCAACAAAATGACATATAACTTGCCTCTGGTTGTTTTCAATCTAGACTAGTGGTTCCCCAACCTCGGGTCGCGACCCCAATTGGAATCGCGGCAGGCTCTGTTGGGGTCGTGAGACTTGGGGTAAAAATCATCTGTAGCAAACAAAGCTGAATGGGCTGGTTGAAATACATTTTTGAACACACAAGTTTCTGCAGATTTGGGATGTCTAAAATGGGGTTTGTCAGCTCTTAAAAAAGTTTGGGAACTGTTGATGTAGAATGTGTTCTCATACTGACCTGTTCGGTCTTGGTGATCGCAAAATTGAGATTGTAGGTCATGTCAGAGTTCATATTTAACTACGCTTGGTTGGCATAGATAGCAGAATTGACTCCGCTTCCCAATTTTGTTTAATTTTACTTTACTTTTAACATTCACTCATCTAATGTTTCTGCTATTCACTAGTTTTTGTTTCGTGTAAATGCTTAGCATTTTATCAATTGCCTATAAAACTTGTCTTCACGTCATTTCTTGGTGTATTTATTTTCATATCTAAAATGACCAATGCACCTTTTCCACTCCACTAGTCAACACAATAGCATTTATCTACCGAATCCTTCAAACTTAAGGTTGTGTGTGTTGACAAATTCCTAACTGGAGAATATGACATAACAATCAAAGTTCAGGGTGTAATTTATAATTTTACAAGTTTTGAGCATACACATGTTTATACTGGTATAGTACAAAAGAATGTTTTCTTTTAGTTTAATTATTTAAAGAATATCAAAACAAGAGACTTTCCTAGCACCACCATATATATTTTAAAGAAAGATAAACATTTCTTGCAATGTAATTTAAGATTATATCAAAGCAAGAGCATATGTTACATATTTCTTTATTCTAAGAACAAAAGTATAGTAAAATATTTCGGAATTTTGATTCCCTAACATATTGAGTGATTTCCAAAGTTCTACCAGTTCTTTTTCTTATACGTCATTAAAATATAAGGTTATTAGGTTTTTATACTATACCATCTTATTTATTTATTTTTTACAAAAAATAAAGGAACAAGGATTTTTCTTAAACATCATTATCAAGAGCTTTAAAATTGTCAACAATTAAGTATGTTAAAATCTAGCCGTTAGTTAAAGTTGAAGAACGAACAGAGAGATTACCACAATAAAAATTCCAAAGGGTATATAAAAAAAAACAAAAGTTTTTGTGATGAACAAATTATCTTTAAAGATCTGATCATTTTTCTTCTAGTAAAAGTCTGTTCTACGAGAAATGTAAACATAATTACATACTCTCGAGTAAACATTTCTGTGGTACTTCAACCTTAATAATTAACATAGTTTTAAAAGTGGTGCCATTTGTTACTCGCAGTAACAAGTTTACTCCAATTTTCGCAAGCAACCTGTACCGAGGCAGAGTCCCCGTTTCAAGAGTTCTCTACATTTTACATGTACAACGCGTCCTAATAAAAATGTACAACACATTTTTTTGAATCTGACGCAAGCCGTACTGTTACACCGTATTTTTAAATTTCAACTAGTTAAAGCAAATCATGTTCGTGGAGAAATCTACTATGCTTGTTTTGAATTTCGCGCAAAGCTACACGAGGGCTATCTTCGCTAGCGGTACCAATTTAGCAGTGTAAGACTAGAGGGAAGGCAGCTAGTCATCACCGTCCACCGCCAACTCTTGGGCTACTCTTTTAACAAAGAATAGTGGGGTTGACCGTCACAATATAACGCCCACACGGCTGAAAGGGCGAGCATGTTTGGTGTGACGGGGATTCAAACCCACGACCCAGATTGCGAGTCGAGCGCCCTAATCACCTGGCCATGCCGGGCCAAATCTACTATGACAAAATGTTGTACATATACACGACTATATACGAAACCTTTTGGTTTTCTCTGCATTCTACGTTTTGATTTTTTGCTGTTGTATTTGTTTAATCAACAGATACTTTATCTGTTGTTGATTAATATTTTTGTAACTCATTATTTTAAGAGTGTGCGGATTTACAGACAGCAAAATTCAGTACAAAAAATAAAAAAATATCCGGATTAAATGTGAACCTAAAGGAAACATTACATTTCGTACAGAACGCCTCAAAAACAAAACAACAACAACAAAAAAAAACGCCCATTTAATTTCTGATGAAAAAGTTTATGACGCAACTTCATCAAAATTCTTTGATGTTCCGACAAAACTCATTTTGTATTGGATATTAAACTTACTTGTGCAAGTTTTTTTTGATACTTGATTTAAGGTGCCAAATACATGTGGCGACATACCATACAAAATATTTATAGTGGTAGGAAAAAACATCATGTAACGTCTGTTAATAATTTTACACCTCATGTTCGTCTATTGTTAAGAATGAGAGAGAGTGAGAAACATTTCACTGGGACGTTTATTTGATGTTAACAAAGCAGTGAACATCACTAGGATCTCAAACTAAATTTTCTCAGTCCACTATTTCAATATTTGGCTATCAACTCAACTGACTTTCTTATAACATCCTTTTTTTTGCGGTTTCTTTTTTACCTGTTTTAAGTACACAAAAATGTTTGATGGACGAGAAAAACGTATTCACTATATAAAAGTACCACCAGATGTCACCAAACAAACTCTTGAAAACGGCTGACTTCCCAAAACACACTGTACAAACAACAGAAACTTGGTGTTTTCAGTCATGAAGACACGGGAAAAGAAAAAAAAAATGAAGACTTTGACGCTAACATTTTGTTCACGATTTATCCAATACTTTGAAGAAAAAAAATAAAAAAGAATGGTTGGAGTAATAGTTAACACGCACCTCCAAGGTTACTTTAACGAAATGTTAAAAACTTCGCTGAATATTCGATAAAAAACAACTTCAAAATCAAGAAAGGCGTTTCTTTCAAAATCACGCGATGCAACTCTCTATTAATTTACTAAAGAATTATTTTTTATCATTTAGCTATGAATGAAATTCATGGTTGTCAAGTTTATTAGTTTTTAATTACCGCCTTCTTTATATTTAATCTTTATGAAACTTCAAAGCAAAAGTATCTGTTTAAAAGGAACTTCTAACACACACACATAAATAACAAAAACTGGTCGCAAAAACAAAAAGTACAGTATAAACCAAGTTAAATTTAATTAAGAAATGGTTTACTTTTCCTAGTTTTATTAAGGTGGCCGATTCATCCTGTTGGTATGTTCCTATCAATCATAAAACATAAACTACGCGTTTCTTTTTTTTTTTCCGCGTGGAAATAAATGGATGAGGAACGTAATACGTCTAATAGTTTAAAATGAAACAAAACAAAAACATTTAGACTTGCTTCACTTTTACTTTCTATTTATTTATCTATTCCTACCCCAACAAAATGTTATTACTTTACAGCTTTATTCTTTACAATTTAAAATAATTTTAACACAATCATTATATATGTGTACGTGCTATTACTATATTTTTTATACACATACATCTGAAGACTCAATTTATACTTGTACTCATTTATAAATTTAAACTTGATCAATTAATACAAGCTATTATCGTACTGTTATTTCTGATGAATATTTAAATTGCATATATTCACAAGTTAATCACTAAATAACAACAAAAAAAACCAAAAACAAATGCATTCTCTGAAGCATTCATGAACAAAATGAATTATCTCTATAGTGACGTAAGTATTAAGCCAACCTTTCTTGCCAAGCATGATCTACTTAGTTTCAAAGCTTGGCTTTAATGTAGAATTTATAGGAAAAAGAAATGTTTAGCGATTTAATTATTACTTTTGGTTAATAATAGGGTTGAGCGTGACTCAGTAGCTAGCGTGCCGGACTCTGGATCTGAGAGCCATCGTTTACGTTCTGTTATCACAAAAAATACAATAAAATAAAAATCCGCTCCGCACTTTGGGACAGTGGATGCATTATAAAAGTGACGGTCAAATCCCACCATTCGGTCAAACAGAAGTAACTGAAGAGTTAGCAACAGGTACTCTTTACTGGCTGTTATTCAATTAGTTCAAAATTAAAGAGGACTAGCGTGGATAGCCGCTGAGTAGCCTTAGGCAGATATTAAAACATATAAACACATTTGTGGTAATAACAAAAGGTATTTCGAACCATAGAGAAGTATTATATATCTATGATACAAATACTACAAACTTAAAATGTCCGATAAAAATTATTATTAAATATGTTATCCAGAAATAGACATATTAGACTTGTGTTGTATGAAAAAGTTATATAAACATATATGATGTTTCTGTGAGTTTGCTATAACAAAAAGTAATTTAATGCGGTTGGTCAAAAGGAAAACAAATACAACTTACCAAGCAAGTTTTTGAGTACGGTGTCATCACAATGGCTGACAAAATCCTTTGACAGTCTTTCACACACTATTTCTTCTTGAGTCATGCATTTTCGTCCAAGCCTTGGAGTGTCCGTGGTCTGAGTCGCACTATTAATTCTACATACTGTCAATTGTCCACTACTTTCACCACCTACCTGCTGCCCCTGAAATAGATTTGCATCATTTTGTGGCACTATAGTCGAGTTTTCGTGGATTTTTAGAGCTTCATTATGATTCACAGCAATATTAGACTGCTCAGTTACTTCCTTTTGGAGAGGTTCAGTACAGTGAACAGATATTTTTGATTGATACTGGACACAAACATCTTGATTGTTAAATGAGGAGTAGTCTTTCTGAGGTTCCGCTTGTTTTGATGTCTGGGATAAGGTTAACTTCCCTTGCGGGGAAAAAGAACCATGACTAGAATATTCATGTTGGGGGTCTTGGCCAACTCTTTCGGAAATAGACGACTCCTCGTTCACGGGACCTGATAATCCTGGTTGATCATTTACAAGGCTATTCACAAATTGAAGGGATGTAGTTGGAGCACTGGGGAGCTTAGCCTCTGAGCTGGAGCATGAAGGTCCTCGGTTAAGAAGACATCGACTATCTGACCAGGTTCGATCTCGAATGGAGTTGGAGTGGAAAATCAGAGTGGTACCTTGTTTTCTAATATTGTGTAATTTTTCCCACGAAGCCGGAGACACAGGATTCTGACCATCGTGTGGTGTTTTAGAGGTTGGATCGTAAGTTTCAGACGTCGAGGAAGATCTCCAGTAGTTGCCATCAAATCCATGTCTTCCAAGTTTCCGCTCACTTCTATAGGACATGTAAGAGTTTTTCGGATAAACGCTAGAAAAAAACAAACAAAAAATACGAAAATAACACTTATTACTAACACATGTAGCTTAGAATTAAGTATTAATGAAATTATACATTTCTTTTGTAACTAACATCTTTATAAAGCTCATAACATTATATGTTCTTATAATTTTGCCCCACTAAAAGGCAGCACCTTATATTATCAATATCAGTACAATATTGTATTAAAATCAATTACGATTAAAATACAATACGATGTAATATCAATTTTAAAAAGGATTAAAAAGTAGTTCAATAAAATATTAATATTAAAAGGCAGACCAATGTAGTAGTAATAAAAAGCAATATAACGCAGTATTAGTATCAATTACGATTAAAAGTAGTCAGATGTATTATTATTTAAAAGTGTTAGTGTAAAGTATAATTAAAAAGTAGTACTATGTAGTATTAATTTTATCTGTGGTTAGAACAATTGTCATGATATTCTCGCTAAAACTAATTTTCTCTCTCTCTTCGAATAGTCTTGTTAAATGCTACATAATAAATACAACATAATGGTTATTAGATGTTAGTTAGAATACACACAAGGGGAGCTACGACCACCATTTTATGCCAGTTTGAAGAAACGAGTTTCAAGCTGGTTTATACTAACAGGCTGTACGTCGCCATTTCCACGCTTATTTCTTTCCGTTTGGTTGCCCATTCCTCTAACCGTGGGCGTCTTTGGTTTCTTGGGTACTAACTTTGATCACTGGTTTATAACTGACTCCATTAAACACTAGCAGTTTTATCCGATAAATCTGATAATTTCATAGATTTAATATTTATGAACACAAGTTACAAAGCGTCACATTTGCAAGAACCAGCTACACTAAAGTTTATTCAAACAAGTGACCTACAAAACGTTGTGGCGCTTACATCACACCTGCTGCACCTGGCAGCAGACCAACCGACTCTTGATAGTTCCCCACAGCGCCCACGTTGCCGCGAGGCAAGAAAGTCGTATGTGTACTGCACGCGGTCCTAGAGGAGAGAACAGTAGACATTTGAAAGAATGTACCATAGAGTCATCAGTTATATAACCCATCCCACGTTACAATAGGCGGGTGGGTCATCATCGACCGATAGAGAATGTACTGGGAAAACGAGGGTGTGGTTGGTTTAAAAACTGATATTTTGTATATTCACACCTGCTGTATGTACCATTACCCAATGAGACCCTCACTCGTACGCTTTATTCACTGACTGTGAATGTTTTCTGTTGTTGGGTTTACCTAAGTTGGAAATATGCACTTTTAATAAATTTGAATTAAATGTTTATTTTAGGGATTTATATTCAACAAACTAAAGCTTGTTTTAGAATCCCGCTTAAAACCACATAAGGACTGTCTGTGCATACCCGTCCCTAACTTCTAAATGACTGACAAAAGGGAAGATAGGCAGTCAACAATATCCATCGACTGAATGAATAGTGGGATTTCACTGTCACTCTTGCAAAGTATTCTCGGCCTCAAAGTGCGGAGCACATTTTTACAACAACAGGTAGCGAATCATCAAATTTAAGATTCAAGGTCCGAGCACGCTAGTCACTAGGCTACGTCCGTGTGTTTGCGACTTCCGTAAGATAAGTGTACTCTTATTATGTCAGTATTGCTACTTCCGTTAACACCGTTAGTTAGAATACTTGATATATCTAATTTCATTTTCATTATTATACTTTTATTATAGAGATTGTTTTGCTTTGTTAGATTAATATACACATGTACTGAGGGCTAACCTAAATCTCCTAAGCTGGCCGAACCTCGTGAGATATAATTGGGTTTACGGCCGAAAATATCGTTAAAAGCAAGGGTACCTAACTGATGAACAATGCATTCTAATGAGTAAGAATGTAAGACAAATATATTCAATCATTTCTACTCAGTACTACGTTGAGTTTAATTTCTTTCAAAGCAGGGATCTTGCTATAATCGAAAGTTAATACTAATGAATTTTCTAAAAATAAAACTCCTGACTAAGAAACGTTTTACCAAAGTATCATGCAAACAAACATATTATCAAGTAATCTTGTACGTTTATCATAATTTTCTAATTATTAGCAATAGCTAAAATAGAACCTGGAAAATGTTAATAAAAAACATTAGAAATGAAGACTTATTTTATCGTTTTCTGTTGTTATAAGTCTTACGATTTGTTCAAGTGTGCTAGCAACTCATAGAAAACCACGATTAAATTACAATAAGCGAATTAGAAGATGACACACTGAGTACACGACGAAGAAATATGAACCGATATACTAACATTTTGAGATATATGCCTACAAGGTATTCGTTAGTAAGGAACATGCGAGTTCGTGAAATTATCGAAACAATACTACTTGTGGCCTTGAGTTCTACATGAAACTAGCCAGACACGGATTTTTATAAAGGATTATCAACGCTTGTATCTGTAAATTATAAACAAGTGTTTAACGTAATACTATTAAGCGGATACTCCAACATAAATAAGGACTACAATAGTGTGTTGTCAAGTATTAACATATCGCTACAGTTTCAGAACTTCATTATGTCTCGAGAGTATAAAGTTAAGTGATGGTGATGCTAATATTCGTATTTTGCAAGTTTCGGGAAACGGATCTACAAGGTCTGTCTTGAAAGAAAAGTAAATCTGTTGTAACTGTATAGACGTAAATCTGTTGTAACTTTACAGAAGTAAATCTGTTGTAACTGTATAGAAGTAAATCTGTTGTAACTGTATAGACGTAAATCTATTTTGTCCATAAAAATGTGAACCTGAGGTTTGTTTACAGAAGTAGATATAATTTTTATTTATAAGACAATGATCCTAAGTTTTATATCTACACAGAAGTTTAGGTTTTGTAAACATATAAGAGGACTCATAGACATTGGTTATTTTTGTCAGAGTCACAGCTCAATGTGTAGTAAGAAATCTATAGTTTATCTGCGACATAACTGTTAACGTACTGAAACTTGCTGCTATATATCCTAAAAAAAACAATGTTGAGTTTGATCTGAACTTTGGTAACATATCAAACCAATTAGTCCGTAGATTTGTTTGTTTTGAAGTTAAGCACAAAGCTACACAATGGGCTATCTGTGCTCTGCCCACCACGGGGCTAGCTCGTAGAACCAATGTTGTCCCTGTGAGAACATGTCAAAACAATTATTCTGAAAAACTAATGTTGTGAAACATATCAATCTAATTAGCTTGAAGAACCAATGATGATATACAAAACTAATGATGAGTTTCTGAAGACATACCAAAATAATCAGCTATACTCACAGCAAAATACTAGTATTATACAAACCCAGTGATGATGACACAACCTAATGTGTTTTTAAAAAGTTGGTTTAATATTCGAAACACGAGTTTAGTTTTATAATTTAATATGGAACTGGATATAATTCCAAGATCTATACATGTCATTTTTGTTTTTTTTTTACTTTCTTCAAAAGACACCCGAAAACTCTTATCGAAAAACACTAGGCTATTCGTTTTGAAGATTCTTGATATCTGATGTTCATGACAAGTTTGGGAGTTGAAACGTTCGTCAAAAAACAACAACAAAAAGACAACTAGAGCTGTACCAATGAAAGTTCTTTAAGTAGCTTATGTGGCCCAATTTAGAGGATTTTAAGAAGCTAGTCCGAACCAAAAAAAAAAAAGAGGATATTTTTTTAAATGTCAGATCAAGCTTATTGTAGCAAGAAGCATGCAGGGAAGTCTGGTCACAATCCGAGCTTAGTTTTCACCCAATCTCCAAAGCTTAAACATAACTCGTAAGTGTACAACAATTAATTATCCCGATTTGCTGGTCAGATAAAGTATAAGGGCCGTCAGGAAGGAGTACTGTTAAACCTTATTTAATGATTCAGATTAGCTTAAGACTAGCAAAGTTGCCAAGTCGCCTCTCCGTCTGGATACGGTACAGAGAAAGCATAACAAGTAATGATCTGATACTGAGTGTGTATTCAATTAACAATGACGTTATGCACCTTAATAGCTAATCATCCTCACGTTCTTAGTTTAATTTCTCTTATTAGAGACAGTGGATATAGCTTTCTGAACAGGGAGGAAGTTTTGTAAAACTCTGGCTTATGGTTATCTTACTCTAATTGTGCAGGCTTTAAACTTCTAAATATTTATCTTAAGCAACCGAATAAGAAGAAGAAAAAAAGACTTGGAACTCACCAATAAGAAATTTGTTTCGTGACGTAGATTTATTTGGAATTTTCGAAGTAATGTATTTGTTTTGTTTTTTGTATAAAAATGATCTTGACACGCTATTTCTAGAGGTCGTTAGGTGTATGAATAGGTACAATAAGAACCTAATTATTATGATAAAGAGAGATGCATATTAGTCATTTACTATTTTATTTTTAAGTTTCAACTTTAAAATTTTAATTGCATAGTTTTCAGCTGCTAGGAGGAACTGGATGATAAAAATTGATAACTAGAGAAACTAAGAAATCACTTCTGGGGGAATTTCCTAACAGTTAAGTTTGTTGAATTCCGCGCAAAGCTACATGAGGGCTATATGTGATAGCCGTCACTAATTTTTAAGTGATAAACTAGATGGAAGGTAGCTAGTCACCACCATCCGCCGCGAACTCTTGAGCTACTCTTGTCTGAATGAAGTGAGATTTCATCGTTACACTTATAACGCACCCACGGCTTCAAAGTGCTGAGCGCGATGTTTTATTGGCGGTAAAGGGACACAAACCACGTAACTTTAAATCCACAGTTAAGCCTCAGGATAAACGCAACTTAACGATTGTGGGTGCAACATGTAAACCTTCTAATGTTTGCACAGCTCTTCCTGTAAATTATATGTGGAGAAAAACCTAACAAATATTGTACTTGTTCAACTATAGGGATCTGCGATTACTGAGTAAATTCTTTCTTTGGAACGTTTCTCGATAAACACCTCTTTCACTGACAGATTGATTTTTAGATACACAATAAAAAACAACAACAAAAAACAAGTCATATGTTTTAATATTTCATTACTTGTCTGAAACTTTAAACTGGTAAATTGAGTGCAAGAAAAAAAGAGCGTATGATAACCAATTAAGTTAAAATCTCGAATGTTTTTAAACAGAAAACATTTAGTTAAAACGTAATGAATAAAAACCCTATAACCCGCTCGGGTTACAGGGTTTTTATTAATCTCTATCAAGACTTTTTTAACCTACGTGTCTTTCTAACTTCATCAATAGTCAAAACGTAATCTATTAAACGAAATCGTAGTTTATACACACACATACACACAAGTCCAAAATTGGCATTACTATCGAGATTTCATCTAAAGCAAAACTATCTCACTCAGGTGGTATTGAAATTTTGAATGTTTACGTAATTTTTGTAGAAATTTAAACATCCGAATAACAGACTCAATCTATATGCAATTTAGCGTTACAGGAAGGTTTTAAGTTTTCCTAAAACGCATGCTATGATAATTCTTTTTAGATAAATACAAAACTAAGAGCAGCTGAATAAAACTTTTAGAGAAATAGAGCAAGAAAGTGAAGTGGATTTTACAAGCTTAATTTTTTATTTACCAAGATGTAAGAAAGGGTGAAAATAATGCGAACCTTATATGTACGTAAACTTTTAATGTAGATTTGTATTGTTACGTAATCTGAATTTTCTAGAAACTCTCCACACGCCTATAAATATAACCAACGCGACGCGCAAAAAAAAAGAAAAAAAAAGAGTAGGTATTATTAGTTTGCTATAGTCAATGTGCTATAAACTTTGGAAGCTATAACTGTGATTGTTATAATGCTTATCAATCGGAAAACTTAAGATATTTGACCAGGAGCATTTACAAAGTTCGAACATTACAAATCATTTAACTTCAGTGGATTCTCATCGGACATTAGTATTTTTACGAAAACATTATATAACTTCACGGTGGAACACACGGCATGTGTGGCTGGTGAATAACGAAAGACAGAGCTAGCTAGCTCCCTGTTAAGCGAATCGTACCTACATCAACTCGTATATAACTCACTCATCGTGAACCTTCGATAAAGTATCAAGGAAATTCCAGACTAGAAAGAAGACACTATATTGCTTGTAAGTTTGTAAATTTTTTGTATATAA